AAAAACAAAAATAATAATCATAACATTCAATAAAGCAAAACAAAGAAAATACACCAATGGGATATAAGAAGATATTAAGAAATTAATAACTTTTTAGTTTTTTTTTTTTTGTAGTTCTTGGCTTTTAACAATGTATAATAAAACACTTGAAGGTAAAATAATACATAGGACTAACTTAGGATACATAGGTCTAGGAACCAAAGGTGGTGGCTGTTTTCACTATTACCCTTAATGATAGTATAGCGAAATACTTCTTATCACTGCAACACTAGGCTTCACTAGTTTAGAGGTTTCTATTCCCCCAAAAACTGATCTTCCAAGGTAGCACAAGAATTTCAGACACTATGTTAAAAGGACAAAAAGACTCTAAGTTCAGGAAAATTTATAGCATTATTATTTTCTTTGTCATTGTTACTTTCAGTTGCTACAGTAAAATTCAGTTCATATATTAAGATCTGAAACACATCACTTATTTGAACAAGACTTAGAATTAATAATAATTTTGGCAATTCACTAAAAATCTAAAGGTTTACAATATGTACTTGATGTGTCCTATACTATATTATTTTCCTCCTTAGAAAATGGTCTTCAAATGGCAGATAAATCTTGAAGAATACAGAAAAGGCATTTAACTTTTGGTGGGGTGCACAGCAACAAAGAACTGTGAAATTTATGCTCAAGGGAGTAAGGAGTCTAATCAAGCATTTCTATATTTATCAGTTTGGGGATTTCTGAATTTTACACCATTGCTGGGCCCTAAACAATAGTAACTACTTTTAGAAGTAATGGAAATTAGCAATTCTAATCCAAGTTAATCTTGGAAAGGAAGACATTTTTTTCCACCTAAACTTAGGTTAAAAATACATAATATTAAAACTCCATGTTAATATACTTTTTCAGAGATGTACTTTTTAATTATTACAATGAACAGATATACTACACATATTTCACATTAGTTGGCTGCCAAACTGGCACTCAGAATACTGACTTCAGCAAATACAAAGAGCTACACATAGCCAAGTAACAATAAAAGTAGGAATTTGATCAAGTCTCTTGGACAGATGATGGGAGAGGTTCACAGAACTATTTTTTAAAAAATGAACAGGAATAAGCAGCACATGTTGACTTGATAATGAGGAAGATGTGGACATTTACTATTCTGAGCCTTGTTATAAGTATTCAAACTCAAAATGATCCCATCAAAGTCTTATTTGCATCCTTAATCATTAGTAAGTTGAGGTAACACAGGTTAAATAATTTGCTAACTAAGGTCATATACTTATTCAGTGCTTTTTCTTTTTTAAATGTATTTAGTACAGGGTCTACAGGGTCTCAGTAAGATAGCACTTGTAGTGATCCTGTTTTCAGCCTCCCAAGCACTGGGATTACAGGCTCACCACCTCGCCCAGTCTCAATGGCTGTCTCAGCCTGTCCCAGGGATGGGTCTGCCTGGCAGGTCAGGGATGAACCCTTGTCTCTGTGTCTGCCTAAGCAGGTGCTTTAATCACTGAGCTATCTGGTTGGCCCTTATTCAGTGCTTTAATAAAGATCTGGATACAAACAGTCTGGCTTAAAAAAAATTATCCTTTAATCCACTATGCTATATGGACCACATAAGGGATAAGAGTAGGGGAAAAAGTGAGGCACTTGTCTCGGGTGTGAAGTTAAGGCATCAGAAGAAAACAAAAAACAAAAATCAAAAAAACAGTGATCAAACAGTTTAATGTATTTAAAAAAAATAAGAATGTAAAATTGCATGATGAGCAAAATACTGAAATTTAAATGAGAGGGTCAGAATTACAAATGTTTCCTTTTGTGTAGAGGTTGTTACTATGAGCCTTGTCACTGGAACCACACTTGTCCTTGTTTAAACTTTTGCATGTAAGGCAAAGGCCTCATTCACTCATTTGTTAAAATCCAGCCTGGACCTGTATACAAGAAACTAAAGTACCAATCAAATTCTTTCTTTATATTAAATTTTGAGCTCCAATGAATAAGTGTATTATAGTATTAACTACATGAACTACTACACTCCCTTTCTGAAACATGCAACAGTGGCAAGCATTCTATAGTGCATATGAATATTTTTGGCTATAATAAATATTGGATAGTCAGAGTATTCTTATTTTACAGTGAGAAGAAAAACTCATTTTGGAAAAAGAAAGTTCTGTGCTCAGTCTATTGTGCTATTTTATCACATTATCATAATGAATAATTATGCATGCAACTGTTCATTGTGCAATTACTATTTACTACATCTAAATTCAGTGATCGAATAATTATGTGATTAAGTGGATTTAAATATAGGATAGGAAAGCAGAACAGTGCGACTGTTTGGTTAATCTATACTTACAGGAACCATTTTCTGTTGTTCCTCACACTTTTTGTTTTATAGATTGGAGGCAAAGGCTTAAAGAAGTTTCATAACTTATTCCAAATCACTGAATTAGTTAAGTGGTAGAATTAGATCTACTTGATTCAAAAAATCCACTTGAGGTTATATTAAAACAATTTAAGTTTTTCAAAAACTCCAAAGCAATCTAACAATATTAAGAAAGTAAAATTATAAAATATTTGCTAGATTAAAAGTACATAAAAAAGGTATGCATATCGGCAGAATGAAAGGAAATCCTTGGGTAAATCCAGTTGATGACAACATTCTTTAAAATTTTACATAGTACAATAGAAGGTATGGAAAGAAAGCAGTTTAAGTTGAATAGAAAAAAAATCTATAACACATTTTTTCACTATATAAGCTTAACAGAAGAGTTCAGTATATGGTATGCTTGATACAGACATTAACAATTTTCAAGAACTGCTGTAGTTAGGGTTAATCTGAGCTTTCACATCCTATGAAGTCAACTGTTTAGGTTGTCATCAATACTACAAACAATAAAATGCTTTGAAATATGACCCATCTGACAGTATAACTAGATTTAAAATTTGAACTTTACACACACAATTTAACAAAAAGTGATAGCATAGTCACTGAATATAAGTAACATAATTACATCGTTTTTGTATTTTGTTTACTATATTCAGTGACTGTATTAGATATTATGGTTTTTTTTTTTTTTTTTTTTTGTGGCATGGGGGCTCAAACCAAGGACCTTGTGTGTGCTAGGCAAGTGATCTACCACTGAACTACTTCCCTAGCCCTTTAAAACTTTCTTTTTATTTTGAGATATGCTCTTCCTAAGTTGTTCATGCTGATTTTGAACCTGTGATACTCCTGCCTCATCATCTGGCACAGCTGAGATCATAGGCATGAGCACCATGCCTGACTTATTCTTTATATTTATGGCTTTCAGCTTATTTTCCTACTTAAGACTACCAAATCCTGACTCACCTTCATTGACATAAACTTAGTTGGTTAAAGCATGAATTCTAATAATTTTCTTGAAAGCATTAGGTCTGATTAATAAATAAAACATCAAGAAAGAAATGATCTAAATTTGAACTATTTTACACTATTAAGAAATGTAATTTTATTGAAAACTGAACTTAGACACAACATGCAGTTGGTTGGTCTGAGGAATGCTGAAAAATGTTCAAATTTTTAAAATGCAAGAGTGCTTAAGAATTACTACATTTTTCCAATTTGTAAGATAAGTGGTGTCTAGTGTGGCAACTGCTTAGAAAAACCTACAAAATACTCTTTGGTTTTGTTAAATTGTTTCTGCTGGTAGAAAGTATTTGTATCTTTAAGAAATAACATTTTAAAGAAGCTTAGTACTTACTTGATAATCATTTCTTTTAATATTTGGAACATCCATGTTGTGAGTAGAAGGGCAAATATCTTCATATTTTTTCCCTGTGAAAATATCAATTCCAACAAGGTGTACCTGAAAGATGACAACAGGGAACCTGTTTAATCTCTGCCAAGTATATCACTCATTACATACACAAGGACACAATACCAATGCTGATTAAGACAGCGTCTCCTTTTCCAAGGTCATCTAATTTTACTTTCCTAAAAAAATGTAGTGGTCACAGAATTGAGAGGCAGTAAACACTATAAACAATATCATATAAAGATTTATTATAATATATAATGCAGTAATTTAATTAAAGAGTACATAAGTAAGGCACTTTCTTAGAACTATTAAGACAGGTTTTCTTATCTGTGACTGAATAAATCTCTTAGGTCACTAGGATCCAAGAAAGTTTCAATGCCCAGTTAGCGAAACATTATAAAGGTCCAAGAAAGGAACATTATCTTTAAGCATTCAAATAGTTGATCACTAAGTAATTGAAAGAAAAAAGAAGGCATTAAATGTTTTTATTAAAATTTTTATGGAACTTTCATGGTTTATAATGTAATATAAAAGATCAAAATCTTAACGACGAAGCCAAAGAATGACTTGGAAGGACACTTACTTTGGCATGACCGTGCTTTCCAGTTTTGGAAGTTGACATCTCCACTATTTTGCATGGTCGTCCTTTGAGCACCACGAAGCCGTTTTTGCGCAGGGCCGAGCACTGCATAGGGTAAGTGCTGGAAGCCCCAGCATCACCAGTAGTGAAATCAATTTCGTCCGCCATGGTGGGTTAAGGAGATGGTAGTTTTTCCGTGGGTACTATGCAAAAAGTTTTAGTTTGGTTTTTACAACGGAGCCTACGAGGACGGCAATGTCTCATTTCAGGCACGTTAGGGGCCAAGCGTCACGTTATTTTGCATTTACACAAAGAACGCCCACTCAAGCGTAGTGGGTCCTCTCTAACTCTGGCCTCTGCAAACTTTTCCAAGCACCGGTGGGATGGTGCGGAGGGAAGCCGCAGAGGAGCTGGGTGGGGTGGGGATACCCTCAGCCGCGCCGGCGACAGCAGGTCCGGGTGCCTATCGCCCCACCACACAAGCCTGCGACCTTCCCGCACCGCGCCCGGGGCCCTCCGCCGCCGCCCGCTCCCACTGCGGGGCCCAGCCCAGGCCGCACGTCCCCGCTGGCTGCAGCACCTGGCCCTGGGGCAGCGGGCGCGCACTCCGCCCTGCATCCGCAGCGGCGGCAGCGGCGTCCCCAGTACTGCTGACATCCCGGGCTCGGCCTGGCCTGGCCCGGCTCGGCCCAGCTCCACAAGGGCCTGACGGAGCCCCGGCGGGTCCCGCGCTCGCCTCCCTTCTCCCATCCATCTTTCCTCCTTGCCTCGGTCAGCGCGGGGCGCTGGCAGCCCGTCTCCGCCCGGCCTGTCCAGTCCCAGCCCTGCCAGCTTCTCCCCAGATCTTCACCTTTCAGCAGGCTCAGAGCGCCTTTCACTGGTGTACCCGCGCTGGTCTCCTGCAGCTGCTGCTGCGGCGGCGGCGGCGGTGGCGGCCGCAGCAGCTCCGAGAGACGGGGCGGGGCCGCCACACTTTCCACACCCTGGTCTCCCCGCCCTTTCCCGCCCCCACCCCAGCCCCACTTCCGGGATAGGCCCGGCGCGTCAGAGGCACCGCCCTCACGAGCTGCCATTGGCTAGCCGATACCCGACACCCCGCCCAGTCACGTGAAGCACGCCCTGGCAACCCCACGTGCTGTGGATTAGTGCACTTCCGGCGTGAAGTGAGCTTGAGGAGTCTGGGTGCTGAGTGAAAGCTCCCCTACGAGGCACCTGGCTTTCTTCACCGTGAGCTCAGGCTCTAGTCGACCTTAATGAGAAGGAGCCTCGCTCCTGGTGGCCTCTGCCCTCAGGTGCGTGGCAGTTGTCATGTTTCGGTTTTCACCACAGGCGAGTCGCGTGAATTCTCCGAGTGGCCTGCGTGGCGGTGGAGAGAACTGAGGGTTCGAGCTTCTGGTTCCATGTGTAACTCCCCTTGGGGTTGCAAGCCACGCGTGCTCCTTGAAGGAGAGCTCAAGTGCAGCATTTCACCCACCGGCGCCTCCTCAGGAGGTCCATCCCTGATAACTGTCCATCCTGTGGTGAGAGTTTGGTGGTGACTGGCCGGGTGTGACCGCCGCCCAGCAGTAGTGCATTGAGGGGTGGGGCCTCCAGAAACATCCCACAGTAAAATGGCCTAACCCAGTCCTGGAAACTCAGCCTTTCTGTGTGGGCATTGGCATTCCTTCGAGTTTGGGTTTGCTCACACATTAGAGACCTCGTTCGATTGATTTCAAAATTGACCCAGAGCCTCTAGGTTACAGCCTAACTTTTTTGTATTTTTTTTTTAACTTTTTTGTATTATTAGAATGATTGCAAATATTTAGGGAGGAATTACATGGTGTGCTGGATGTTTCATCTGCGTTATATGTTTGTTTAATCTTTTTTTATTAAAGATTTATTTATTTATTTGGTACGTCTCACCTCACAACTTGGACTCTAGTGATCCTTCTGTTTCAGCCTCTCCAGCACTGGGATTATAGGCGTTGTGTATCAGTTACTCTTCTCTCATTGCTGAGACAAATACCCATCACCCAAAATGAAGGAAGAAAACGTTTATTTAGCTCAGTTACTGGAACTTTCAGTCCGTACTCAGCTTGCTCCAAGGCAGACTGGCACATGGCAGAGGGCAGCAGTTCATGGTGGCAGCAAAGAGCAAGAGCAAAATGGAGGAGTTGCAGCAACAATGGCAATAGAGAGGAAGTCTGTCTCTTAAATTGCATTCAGGCTATCAGTGCTAGGCTGGGGGAAGTACCGACACCCATAATCCCAGCAGTACTAAAACCCGTAATCCCAGGGGATCATGAGTTAATATCAAACTCTAGAAGTCCTCGCCCCATGACTGTATGAGGCTTTGAGGGGACAAGTAGACACAGACCATAACAGTGTGCACCACCACACCCAGTTTCAGTGGCTGGTGTTAGAAGGGCACAACATGCAGTATCAGGGATCTAATCCTGGTCCTTGAGCTTGCCAGGTTCCCCCCCCCCCACTCTCCCAGGACATGGAGCTATCTCCCTGGCCCCATGTTTATCTTGACTGGTTAACTCTTCTGGTTAACCTTTTGTTAGAATTTTATAAAATTTATTTTTATGTGTCAGTTTTAAAAAACATTTTATCACCACCACTATAATCAAAATATTTTGTTCATTCCAAGTGTTTCTGGATGTTTTGTTGTTGTGTGCCATCCACTCTCATTCAGACCTTGGGAACCATTAGTTACTACTGTTTTACCTACATTTTAAATTATGGAAGGAGGTAGAGAAAAGTAGTTTGCTCCACATTATACAGCTAAGAGTCAGGAAACCAAGCTTGAAATCTAGTTTGGAACCAGACTATTACCATATATCATATTCACATAGGATTTGGATTTGGAATAAAACAATTGACCTTTATTCAATAAATATAGTCCATTCTCCTGAAGTTCATGAATTACTGAATATTGAGTCATTACTCAATGCAGGAAGTGCAGGGTGTGCTTTTTGTGGGCCTCTGATCACAACAGTTTCATTAACTAGTCAAGATACTGTTGTGTGTTTTTCTTTAAAGATAACTTGTTTAATATGTTTTCAACTCATTGACAACCACACTAAAATTCATGTCTTCTGTACTTTACATTCACACATTTTTCTCTCTAAGGTACACTATAGCTTGTATTTAGGAACACTACACAGTGTTTCAGGATGATGTTTGGGGTCATTTAAAGCAATGAAATCATAAGCCATAAAAATTCAACAAAAATGGCTATAAATGGACTGAAAAGTACACTTCTTTACATCTTGACAGCTGGAGACATACTGAAGGAGAAGACTGCTATGTTTGACCTGAACGAAGAAAATGTACATTGGATAATTCAAATCTCTGCATGTTGACAAATGACCTACAGAGTGCAGTAGCACAGTAAGTATTGATTGGGGGTTACAAGAACATTTTATGATGTATTTAAATACTCAAATATGGAATCCAAAATAACAAGATAGACTATGTATTTTAGCACCCATATTTTTGGAATCACCATATTAATCAAGACATGCCTTTGTTTATAAGGTGCTTAGAGTCTAGGGTAGGAAATAGCCTACCAATTTTAAAAGCTAAAGCAAATGATAATAAAGAAATACGGAACTCTGAAAAAAAAGAGCTCCCCCTCATATAGTGTCAGACTGCATAAAACCCTTTTTAAAAGATGAGATTAACTTCAAATATATTTTATTTAACCAAATAAATATATCTAAAATATTCACATATAACTGTATAGAATTATTACAATGATATTTTATAGTTTTTCTGTAGTAATCCTTCAAAATCTGGTATATATTTTGCACTTAACAAGACATCTTAATTCACATTAGCCATATTTCAAGTGTTTAGCAGCTGTGTGTGACTGGTGGCTATTATATTGAACATCACCAAACTAGAAGTGAAAATACCACTTCTCTGCTCCTCTGAGAGTAACAACTTAATGTGATATTTGAAAAGTTGGTAGAAATTAGCAAGGGGAAGACTTTTTTTTTCAAAGTTTTATTGATAAACAGATAGCAATGAGACAGTTTCAAATCAAATCGGAAGTACAGTTTCAACAAATAATACACTGCATA